TTTTGATTAATTTTGTAGGAATTATGAAGCTTGGAGCATTGGAGCATGAAGAGAAGATAGGCCAGTCATGTCATGGAAGAAACAATGAAGACATAACCCAAGTCGTTGCATATCATCATAGCGAATGACTACGTTTGAAACGCGAGCTGTGTCACACCGACACATGTCGCGTTTGTCCTTTTTTATCACATATTGAGCAACATGACTCATGGTGAAGCTATACCGAAAACGGAGCCAAGTCTGAAGACTTATTAGAGTTTTAGCAAAAAGGCATGGTCATGGTCAAAACACATGGTCATGCTAAAAACACATGGGCAAAAAGGCATGGCCATGCTAAAAAGGCATGACCATGCTAAAAATGCATGGTCTTATGGCAAGCACGTGAGCAATTAATAAAATAAAATAAGGGAAGTCGCCATTTTTCATCAGAAACGGTTTTTGGGAGCAGTTTTGGGCGATTTTGCTAAATTTCTTGGAGCTTTTGAGGAGACCAAATCATTGCAAACATTTTTTATTTCCATTTGTAAGAATTAAACACTTCCATTTCCATCTTTTTGTTGGTTGATTTGTTCTTAGCCATGTGTGGCTAAGAAGCCCTAATTTCTAGTTCTTGTTCAAAACATGTTAATTGCTTGACTTGAAGCATATGGCTTGGTATTTGGTTTATGATTCTATTCTAGTGATTATGTTCTTGTTTAAACTAGAATCATTGAATTTGATTTATGTTTGATTGGCCACTTATATGAATTAAATTCTTGTGTAGTTAATTAACTTTTAGGAAACCTAATCATTTTATTAAATTAATGATTGGTAACAAACAATAGGTTTCCTTATTGTAGAACATATATCACATGTTTTCACACTTTCAAACATATGTGAAGAAATGAACATTGTAGGGAAGCTTGTACAAAACTTAATGCAGTTTTTCAATACAAGGAGATTGAAGTGATTTGTTTACTACAACAAATCAATTGTATGTAACCCTAATCCAATGATTTCGATTTCATTAGGGTTTATGGTAGTTTTGTTGTTCATAGTATGTTGCCTTCAAAGTGTTGTGACATAGATCTTGTATAGGATGCATGTACCCTATTAATTGTTAATTGTTTTTCTGCATTGTACATGATTCTGTTTTCTATAAAACCCATCAAGTATAAAATCGCACCGCACTGAAAAATTACAGTTTTTTGAAAATTAAAAAATGCACCATTGGTTTTATGTTCGGTTTCGGTTTGCGGTTCAGTTTTTGCTCACCCCTAGTATAGTGGAAAAAGTTTGACTTGATTATTCAACTGTGGCTATTTGGAACTATTTCTCAAAACCTTCTCAACATGATTTGGAAGGATAACTAATTCGCTAGGGATCTCTGGGTTAACCTTGAAAACCTTTTTCAATCAAACAAGTATTCTCGGGCAATGTAATTGGAAAAAGAATTGCGTAACATCACAATGGGATACCTCTCCGCGTTGGCTTACTTCTTAAGATCAAGACCTTGTCCGATAAACTAGAAAACATTGGCTCCAAGGTACTAAAAAAAACTACACATGCATTCCATCAACGGTCTTTTTTCCAAATTTCAACATGTTGCTAGTATTGTATGACGTCGAACTCCCATTCCAACCTTTTTGGAAACCCGCAACATCACCACTCTTGAGGAACAAACTCTTCTTCAATCTTATGCCACTTTGGTCACCTATCACCAAGAGCATGCCTCCTCTCCCATTGTTCTTCACACCACTGGTACCAACCATAGAGAATCGAATCGGAACCAAAGTTGTTGCTTTTGCCATACTAGCAAAAGCAGTGACGCCGAAAGCCGGACCAACAACCACAATATGGATAAGTGTATTTTGCCCCGCCAACTGGTGGTCAACAACATCCCCGTCAATGATTTGGGCCCATTATGGTTGGTTCTTTTTTGGCATAGTGGTAGGTTATTTTCGGTGTAACATCCCAAAACAACGATAAAATTTTTCATTTTTAAAACCAACAATTCCAAACATCAACCTATTCCAAACATTCACAATACACAATATCAATCATCAGAGTAATAATATCCATAAAAGTGCAGAAAAACATGAGGGGAGGATGTTGTGCCATCACGTAGGGTCCTTCCCTTTAGTATCGGAAGTACCTGAAACCAGAAACATAAATGTAAGCACAAAACTTAGTGAGTTCCCCCAAAGTACCACATGCCAAACATACGAATATGGGCCCTGCCATGGGGTGTATTTCAACTCAATAAAAAAATATGGGCCCCGACCTGGGGTTTTTTTCAACCCGAACATGGCATAGTGGGCCCCGCCCTAGGGTATATTTCAACCCGACATGCCATAGTGGGCCCCGCCCCTGGGGTATATTTCAACCTGTTCATACAAACAAGTATACATCACATAACAACTAGCATTCTATATAACCAAAATAATGGGCCGACATTAGTGCCTTCGACCCATGTATACAGTGATAAAACTCACCTCACAGACAAATGAGAAAACGAAAATAGCACGTTGCTCCGAAACCAACTCTACCAGTCACCTTTACAAAAATAGTAGCCAAAACTCAGAATATATGTTAAAATACCTAAAATACCCCTAGGTCAAACCGTGGTCAAAATCCAGGCCAAAGTCAACCGAGTCAACCGAGTTAACTTGGTGAGTACGCTGGACGTTCCCAAATCGTACGCGAAGCGTACTGCTTGCTTGACCAAATGTCGAAGGGCTAACCTTGAACGTGTAACATACCCTTTGGTACACCCAATGTTCGTGGCTGTCACTCACTCAATCCATTAAGTTATTTAATCCTTAAGCACTTACGTCCAAAATCCAGATCTAGACCCTAAAAAGTGTTCTTAACCATAAAGTTTCCAACTTTATGGTTTTGCATGGCTAATAAGACCTTATCCCTAAAAACCCTAGCCTCTTGACCTATTAAGACAACCTAGATCATGCATGGGAAGGAACTAATGCCCAAGATCATATTTTTATGGCTTAACACACCCTATAACATCTGAAAGGACAACTCAAACATCTTGGGTGCTCCATACTCATAAGGATCAAGATTTAGGACAAAAAGGTGCCAACTTTAAGCTAAAGTAGATCTTAATGAAATATGCATCAAGGTTGGAGCTTTATACCTCTAGAAGATGCACAAGAGAGAGTAGTTGCTGGATCCAAAGCCTTGAGTGAAACACCACAACTTCTAGGTTCCTCCTTCACCACCAGGAGCACTAAAATGGCCCTCCAAGCTTCAAAACACACTCACACACTTTAGGGTTTCAAGATAGGGATGAAGGCTGAAGATAAGGGAGTGTATGGGGCTATAATGATGTTTAAATAGGGTCCAGACCCTAAAATTTAGGGTTTTCACCCTGGCCACGTACGCCCAACATACGAAACGTATGCCCAGCGTACGAGAGCCCTTCCCAAAAATTACGAAAATGTCCCTTGGGACTAAATTTGCAAACCAAACTCAAATCAAGGATCAAATTTGAAAATACCTGGAAATCAAGATGTTACATTCGGTCCACAACAATAGGCTCAATACTGGCTTCCTTCAGCCAGCCTACTTGGTGCTCCTCCTTTTTGACAACACACTTACCGACCCAACTCAACACCTCCTCAAGTCCACTCCAATGCGAATTAGTCAAGCACCTCTAGCTCTTTTCCGCAACAGGCCAACAACAACGAAATTGGTAGAATTTTGAAGATTAAGCAACCTCTTTGCCTCAAATGTTTAGTACATTCTCATTAAATGATTCAGGAAACAACGGGTGGATTATGGATACCGGTGCTACAGATCATGTCCATTCAAACAAAGATATTCTCAAAGCTATTTCAAATTATCATAATAACCGTCTGCCTTTTATCCGATTGGTCAGGATTTCGAATACAAGGAAGCCGATTTTCTTTTTCGTTCTAAAAAAATTATACCAAGATCAATCTTGTCTAACATATATTTATCCATACATAAAGTAGTCAAAACATTCAACATTTATTGTCACATCGATGACCTTAAGTAATTCTATAATACTTCAACTTTTAAAAATTTATCTCTTTGGATGCTATAGTGATAAGAATCGTTAATAAGATTGTGTATGCAATGAGATTCTAATTGTTAAGACATATGAATTGAAAAGACATATTCGACTAATCCATTCTATTATTGCTTGATCCCTCCATAGGTCGTCAATTTACTTTTCATCGATTTGATTTCCCAAATTTTGGTTGTACCTACCCACCTTTTTTATGAACAACGATAATTGTACGCCTGATGTTGTTTATTTGTGTTTCCACTAATGTATCAAATTCGGGCTTAAAGACACAATTACTTTTTCTTTTTTCGTAAAAATAGATTGATGTTTACATATTAATATTACATAGCCCAAATTTTTTGGGCCCCTTGGAATGATGAGTCTTAGGCGGTCGCTCCTATCGCCCATCGTCTAGGCCGGGCTTGCTTGTGATTGTTTAGATTAACTACTTCCATGTGATTGTTTCACCGACAGGGAAACCAGGAACATGAGGTAGTTATAAACCTAACATCTCAAAACCTAATGCTTCAAAATCAATAGAAAATGAAAGGGGTGGAGTGATCTGATCCTATGCAAGTTTTCATTGAAGGGGAAGGGAAGAAGGGTGTGGGGATGTCTTCTAAGGTTGGCTTGGATGAAGGAGTGATAAGGTTGCCGTGTGACGGTTTTCTAATCAAACATATGGACAGATACAATCAAACCTTAGAACACTTGATAATAGTTACCCTATAAAACATTCCCCAACTTATTTACGACCTTGTCACATATGAAGTTCACAAATTAAAATCAAGCCCAAAAAATGACATAAATAAATATTAGCCAGTATATTCCATTAAAAAAAGAATGGGTACACCATATATAGACATCATTCGAAGGCCCTTGTACTAGAAATTATTTAACATAAAAAAATCTATTAATCTTATATATAACGTCAATAATCGAAAAATGAACTCTTTCTAATTTTCTATACTCAACCATGCATCTTTTGTCCGGCAACTGAAAACATTCTTCCTCTATCATTATTCTTCCTTGCTTTATTATTATACCTTCTCCTACAGGACTTCTTTCCACCACCACCGTAGGCGGCAACACCATTAGGTATGAAAACTACAGTGCCACCACCACCGTTAGCCCACAAATTTTCCATCCAACTAGGGACTGGACTTCTTACGGTCTCCGACCAACTACAGTAGTTCCTAGCCACCGGCTTTGATTCAACACCACCATAAACCACCGGTCTCCGCCGTATCACCGCCACACCCTTCGTATACATACATGTGTCATCATCATCTTCATCTGTAAGCATCAATATCTGTCGCATGAGTTCTTGATAAAACGCATTGTCTTCTGCATCAACCGAACTTGAAGAACCCGAATATAAATCCATGTATTTGTGGCGAAAAAAGAGATGTATATAATTAAGTTATAAGTGTAGTTTAGATGGTTCAAGATGGGGTGTATATATAGTCAAAATTAATGGGAATAAATGAATTATTGGTTTGGATATGGTCAACGTGAGTGGGTTCATGGAAGGTTGGATATGGGTTAACGTTAAGTTTCCAAGTGGCACCATTGCTATATTTAATGATATCAAAGTTTGTTGAACCAAATAACAAGTCCACGAGACTTGGCACGATGAAGGTAACATTTGTGTCATCATACAATATTTTTGAATTAATAATTAAAGTCAACGAAGAAAACACAATCTGTCCATACATTTTAAATAAAAAAAATATATATGATATCATAGAATGAGTGTTAGGGTATAACGAACGTCTTTTTGTAGGTAGAATTAGTAGATATTTGGAGATATCAAATCCCGAAAAATATTTTTTAGAATGTGAGTTGTGGACATTTCTGACGTGATGTGCAATAAAAATGAAATACGATAAAAACTAAAAGATACATATTAATTATAATAGTTTAATACATATCGATCGAAAGCAAACGGGCAACAAGCTGCGCCGCTAGCCCTAATTGCTCTCTTGTCTTCAAGATTTCTACCGTTGTAGAATGTGAGTTGTGGAATTTCTACCGTTGTATGAGTGAGCCGATTTCCATCTTTCATGAGAATTAATTACGTAGTTATCAAGTTTGCTATTCTTATGTCATTATTTTATTATTATTATTACTATGAGTTTAGAAGTCATCCGATTTTTATTAGGATTTTTGTACACTGCATTATAAATATAAACATTTTAGTCTTTAAAATAAATAATTAGTTTTTGCTCTTCTCCATTCTCCTATTGTCAAGTAAGCATGAGCGACTCAACCAGTTTCGAGGCACTAAGCAAACCAAATTTTTGGGGCCCTTTGGTTTAATTGTACTCTTCAATTATATTCACATACAAGTTCACTCTTTATGATTTCTTCAATGACAATTTCAGTATAAGATAAAGAATTTTTCCTATTGTAATAACCTAAATAAACAAGAATTTTGATAAAAAGTTATATATGATTCTTATAACACCTAATATAAAAAGTACATAGCAAACTTGTTACTAAAACCCATCATTCACTGTCAATAATTTATGGTATTTAGGACTAGATAACTCAATGATATAAATATATTCTAATTGAAAGAAGTAATTTATAGTTTTTTTATTCTTCCACTTAATTTATTTTGTGGTTACTAGATTTGATGTTTTAATGGACTAGACTTTTGGACTTTGGAGAATATGAGGCCCCTTAGAATTGGGGGCCTTAAGCCCTAGCTTAGAAAAACTCTACATAGAGTCGGCCCTACAAGTAAGAACCTTGATACTTGTACCTCATGATTTTTTTTCCTACTATGGCTTTCCATTTATATTTTGTGTTCTCAGCGTTCTTATTTTTCTTCTTGTGTTTATCGTCATTTATAAGAAACAATATCAATACATTCTGTCCTAAAAACCATTAACCATGATCGGTATTTCCTAAACCGGTCACAATGGTTTTCTAATCGAATTTAATCTTACTCTTTCATCTTATAATTGCCTCCCCTTTAATCGATTCATTCATGGACTTCCCTAAGTCCTAATCGGATTTCATCCCTTTATGTATCCATAAATCGATTTTATCCTGAACTTGCTTCCATAAATCGATTTTCATCCTAAACCTACAACTTGTTATATTGAGTTTCTTCTATGTCTTCTATGAAGTATAGTATTTCATTTTTGGGTTGTGACACAAGGTTTTCCCTATGATAAGATGAGAACTTTAACAACTTAAGTTGATTGTGATAATGCATTCCATGCTTTTAGAAGCAAGAGACAAATTGATTATTTTGGAGGAGATGGAGTTTTTGAATCAACTTTAATCCATGGGATTTCATTAAATAATGAAGTCTATTGGAGTTTTGGTCCATTTGTCCCATCTTTTGCTTATTATGGACGTTGTTCATGTCAGACCACCTTTGAATGATCATCAATGTTTGGAAGCTACATACTTTTTATAGTCGGTCCAATCATTTTGGTACATTGGGCAAAAGGGAAAAAAGTCCCCTCAAAGACACAAGTACTACTTTTAGAGGCTTCCAATTTTAGGAGTGTTGGATCCTGTGCTCGTATCACTTGTTCTTTGAAGAAAATCAATTCGAGATCGTGGCTTGTTCTAGCATTAAATGCCGCAAAGCCATTTTGACACATTTGATACCATCATGTATTTTGGCGTATTTGATACCATAAGGTATTTGGGTTGCTAACAATTTTTTGTCAAAAGACATTTAAGTTGCATGCCATTCAATTTGAAGATTTTTACTTCTTTTAATACTTCAGAGAAAGCCTTATTTGAGTAAGATATCAATGTATGAGTGTACTCAGAATACTTTAGAAGTTTTTTTTAGGTGCTTACATAAAACTTAAGTTTAAAGTTTCTTATCCGGTGGAATTTGAGGTATTTGGTTTTATCATCATTTTTCCACTTATGCGGTTCGAGAAAGAATAGGTGGAAACCCTTGTTGGGAAAAACCACAAGAGACTAGGCATTTTGTATAGACAAAACTTCAAAAATGGTCCCTGTGGTTTTCGAAAATATCAAGTTTAATCCCTAAGTTCAAAAAACCTCATAGATGGTCCCTGTGGTTTCAAAAATTTTAACATTTGGTCCTTCCGGCTCACTCCGTTACCATTTAGCCGTTAAGTAAGGGGTATTTTTGTCATTTCACTACCCAAGGACCATTTATGAGGTTTTGTATTACTTTTTTTAAAATAAATAAATAAATAAATAAAATGTAATATACAAGGGGTCCCACCTCTCTCTCTCTCACAGATCATAACAAGGGTTAAGATCACAACAATAGCCGATAAAATCAATTCCGTGTTTCAATTGGGTCGGAATCTCATGTCAGAACGACAATGTTACCGAAATCAACATTTCAGGGTTTAGGCGAACACGAGCTGGAAGAAAAAACCCTCAATTTGCAGTCGATTCACTTGCAAATTTAACCAATTTGGTGTCCTTCAACACTTCTCGATTCACTCTACCTGGTTCAATCCCTAATGGATTAAGTCTTCAGCTTTAAACGAAGTAAAATGACTTAATCACTGGAAAAACACAGCATCAACCGGAGTTGCTGCCTCCCGCGACTTCACCTCCTTTCTTCTATTTCGATGATAAGCCGACCCAACCACCCCCTGATCACCACCATTCCCAGTTGAAGAAACCCACCATCGCAACAGGTCCTAGTAAGTTTTGTTCAACAGAGAAGAAAGGTAGCGGAGAACCTCCGACTTCCCTCCCGTTTCCTTCTGTTTTCGAATCCCAAGCAAATCCCTCGCTATATCCTTCTTCATCCATTGAGTTTCAGGTAGAGATTTTCCTGCGAAATCACAGGGTAAAAACCCCTATTGTTTTCCATTTTTTTCACTAATTCCCCACAAACTGAATACATCTCTAGTTTCTCCATGCCCTGTTACTCTTGTACTCCAAACACCGTCTTTTTCTCCATCTTGAGTCATTTTAGTTGACATGGCGAAAGAAGAATGGGGTTGTTGAGAGAAAAACTTGGAGACACACTTAAACAAAAGTTAGAACAAGTATAATGCAGAATAGTTAATCTCAAAGGATCTAAAAGCTCAACAATAATATAGTTAGATAGTTAAAGAGTTAGTTGCGGAAATGTAAAGGAATGGAAATGACAGCAATTGTTATATCAAGAAGACACTTAAGCTGATTCATAACAAGGAATGCATTCACTCCAAGTTAATAAGGAAGATCAAGCTTAGTGATTAAGTCTTAAAGACTTGCTCCGAAGAGAGATTATGATCAGCAGAATTATGATAAGATTTAAGTAAGAAGAGATGAGTTGAAGAAAGATAGAGAGATAACTTCAGAATGTGTATTCAGATAGAATTCATAAGTTATCGGTTCTTCCTATCTTTTTTTTGAATACAAAGAGAGAGTCTCTATTTATAGACTTAGAAACTACACTAGATTACAACTCTATAAGCAGCCGTGCAAGGCATACTGGATAATAGAGTGTATTACATAAAAGACAAATAACGTAATCTAGCTAAGTTGACTGCGGTAGCTGACTCCGGTTGCTGATGAACAAGATTGACTCCGGGTGCTGAACCGGTTGAGTAGAAAGATGGTTGCGGTAGCTGAGATGGTTGCGGTAGCTGAGTTCAAGAGGGTCACTTTTATGATTCAACAGGGGTGTTGGTGGGTATGGATCGATGAAAGGTTTGATCAGACTTGGTTCTCCAGAAATGGCGAAGAGGATGAAGAAGGTGGGTCAAGTGAAGGCGATGTGGAGGAACATTTGGAGGTGGATAGGAGTCGATGATAAGATACACATATAGCTCAACTGGAAGAGCATCACTGATTTTCATCATCTTCATCCATTTCTGGTTTATTGATTGGTTTAATTTTGGATCTATCTAATGTGATTGACATTTGTTGTATTTTCTAAAATGTTGGCCATTGATATGATATGAATTAGGGCAGATTAACAAAATTGGGGTTTTTTTATAAGGGTTGTGGGTAAAACTTTTGATTTCTTCCATGGATTGTAGTTCTGGAAATGCACACACATTTGCTTTGAGAGAGAGAGAGAGAGAGAGAGAGAGAGAGAGAGAGAGAGAGAGAGAGAGAGAGAGAGAGAGGTGGGACCCCTTGTATATTAAATTTTATTTATTTATTTATTTATTTTAAAAAAAGTAATACAAAACCTCATAAATGGTCCCTGGGTAGTGAAATGACAAAAATACCCCTTACTTAACGGCTAAATGGTAACGGAGTGAGCCGGAAGGACCAAATGTTAAAAGTTTTGAAACCACAGGGACCATCTGTGAGGTTTTTTGAACTTAGGGATTAAACTTGATATTTTCGAAAACCGCAGGGACCATTTTTTGAAGTTTTGTCTTTTGTATATAAAATTGATGATGAGAAGGATTTACAATGTATATAATAAAAATATACGAGAAGGATAAGAAATGCTGAAATAATCTATTAACTAAAGGTTTATGTTTATAATGATTTACATAAATCCTAATACAAACTATATTTTTGTTAAGATCTGAATTTTTAATATCTGAATTTTTAAGAGGTCTGAATTTCTAAGAGGGTGTGAATTTTTAAGATCTGAATTTTAAACATGTTGTTTGTTTAAACCTCTGAATTTTTGTGCTTAATTATAAAAATGACCATTTTACCCTCCTGTATTATTTTTTGCAAAATTATAAAAACACCATACAAAATCCAAATTAAACATAAATCAAAATTAAACAATCAAAGATAAATATTTGACAAATCTATCAAATTATAACAATCAAAATTGCTTTGTTTTAAATTATATGCTAATATTGATCACATTACAAAAATTGATGTTAACAGATCTACATACAAATGCAACAATCCAAATAAACTTAAAAACTGTAGCAATAAACATCAGAAAAATCACAGTGGAAACTGCATCCATTATCACCCTAATCTTGATAGCATCTTGGTCATTATCAATCACCTATATCAACCAAACAAAGGATACAACAGCTTTTATCATCCACATTGAACATTTTAAGAGAGAATATTAACAGACAGTTTTTATCATCCCAGGTTTCTTTTCTGCAAAAAAGATTCAAGATAAAGAAATTTAAATAAATCATAAATTAAAACAATTTCATTCAAGCATTTCATCAAATGGTTCATATGCATGTAAAATAAACATGGGAATATCATAAGTTGAAACAATTTCATTCAAGCATTTCATCAAACGGTTCATATGCATGTAAAATAAACATGGGAAAATCACCAATATCTCATCAAAGTCAAACCAAAATCAGCAACATTTCATCAAAATCAAACCAAAATCGGCAACATTTCATCAAAATCAAACCAAAATCAACAATATCTCATCAAAGTCAAACCATATTTCAAACCAAATAAATAATTTCAGCAACATAACCATAAATTCGACAATTTTTAGAACCCACTACAAGCATTTAAGCAAGTTTTACAACCGATTTCAAGGCCATTTCACCGGTTTCAGCAAGAAAATCAAAAGAAAACATGAGACTATAAAAAAGAATACCGATTTCAGAAGATTAGGTGTGTTGCGGCTGTGCGAAGTGCTGTATGACGGAGATGCTCAATGGCGGAGGTGTGCGTCGACCTGAGGGAAGCTGACGCCGGTCCCTTGACGTCTGACATGCAACGTCAGAGATGCATGTGTGCAGCAGCCGGAGCCGACGACGACGGCGATTGCAGGGAAGAACGAAGACGACACCGGCGACGGAGATGGCAGGGAGGAACGAAGCTTCAACAGATGGTGATGGAGGATTTGGCAGTGTGCATCGATGAGAAAGAAAAAGGTGGAGGCGCGCTGGTGATAAGAAAAGAAAGAAGTGAATTAGGAGGCGCGTCGGTGAGAAGAAAAGAAATACGTGAATTAGGGTAGTTTCGTCATTTTTTTTTCAGACGCGTATACAAGTCTGAAAAATTAAGAGTTTTTTATCCAATTCAGATGTATTTTTTTAAGAGGTTACCAAACGAGCTACATCTGAATTTTTAAGAGGTACCCTCTTAATTTTTCAATTAAGAGGTAAACAAACGGGGCCTAAAAGTAAAAAAAAATAATGTCATGAAAATACCAATTTGAAAATCAAGTAACTATTACCAAAGCAGGTTTATACAACATGTGTAACCATTCAAAGTTTCTTTTTATTTTAATAGTTTAACCATTAAAACTTTTACACCATGTTTAACCATTCAAAGTTTTTATCTTTTTATTTTAATAGTTTATCCTTTGATTAAAAAACAACAATTACTAAAAATTATTCTTTTGATTAGAGGTGCGCAAATGTAGGATTCGATCCGATCCCTTTTTGCTTAGGTCTGGCCTCAATCCGATCCAATCAAAATCCGATCTAGATGTCATAATCCAATCCCGGCTCCAGCCAAATTCCGAATCAAATTCTTATCCGATTTCAAATCAGTTCCAACCAATTTTTGTTGAGTTTTACCATATTTATGCCGGTTTTGGATCCATTTTTTTAGCAAATCAGGTTTATGATCCGGTATCAAATCCGATTTTACCCATAGGATTCGGGTCCAATTGTAAATCGATGGATCGGATCAGATTTGATCCAGTTTTGTAAAAACTGGTTTTCAGACCAGATCGGTTTCAAATCGGTGATCCGGTTTTCGTACGGATCGCTACTTTTTTTTTTTTGCTAATCATTATAGAAAACACACATTGGTATTTTTTTAAATAAACTTTCCATAGTTAAAAAAATTCTTTTAATGGCCGAAACAAAAAAAAAAAAAACTGTATTATATCGATTTTTATGGAATTTAGACTTTAGAGTCTGTTTGGTAATTTTGTTGCCTTAATGGGTCCAAACTTATTTGGTTATGTGAGAAAGTATCTGGAAAAGAAAAACGTATTTCTCTAACCAGTTTTCCCTCTTCTCAATTCTCGCCTCCATCAAACATCGCTGCCCTCTCCGACCTCGCACACTGCCTTCTACCATTGTCCCTCTGCTCCGACTTCTGCGGCGTCGGGGACAACCTCTGCTGTGCGTCGTAGAACACCAGTGTTTCAAAGACAGCTGCATCCTTCTCTCGTAAGTTTCCGTATACTGAAATCTATTTGTGAGATAAAAATATCGAAGATTCACACCGTTAAGTTGATTTGTTGAATGTGATGCTGAAGTTCTTAACTAATGCGCGAGTTATTTCATGAATTTGGTAGAGTGTATGTATTGATGTACATTGAAATGCGAAGTGTGGTTTTGTGGTTTCGATAAAAGCCCTAAGTGAACGTTGATTGATGAAATAAGTTAAACTCAAACTATTAATGACGAAGAAGACTGAAATCAGATTAGGAACCCTTTCTTAGGAAAATATAGCAGTGTAAAATAGATTGTTGAAACGATTTAGGGTTTTTTTTAGTATTTGTATTCTCCTAATTCTATCACCGATTGTGGCAACTTCTGATTTGTGCTTCTTAATCTTAATTGGATAGGCTGAGGTTTAGATGAGTCTCATTGACGATGCTTCGGTGAGCTCATCAAGCAGCGATGATTTTGCATCTTTTCTGGATGCAGAGTTGGATTCTGTCTCTGATACATCTCCTCAATCAGAAAAAGAAGAAGAAGAACAAGAAGATGATGATGAAGATGAAGATGAAGATGATGGCGACAACAATGATGGTGATGATGATGATGATGATGATGATGATGATGATGATGAGAATTATAAGTACCTTGATGAAAGGTACGTACTGACATTGTTTTCCTCATCTAATCTTGCATCAAACATATGTACCTAAAGATATGTAATATGTTTTTTAAGAGAGAAGGTATCAAGAGGCTTACTATCAACCTAGTGAAGCTCAAGTTTTCCATGGCTTATGATGCTTACTGAGACTCATGGAGTTATTAATTTATGTTCAGAATTTCAATCATTTTGGTTGATTTTAAAGATTTTGATCTTCCGCAGGACAAAGAGGAGGAAGATTAGCGAATCAGAAACTACCGAAGAACCCAATGGTTCAACATCTCATACAGAACAAGAAATCATCTTAGGTATCCTATTGTTTATACATCAGTTTGAATTATGTTTCATCTACAAAATTTCTAACTCTTGTTAATTATTATTATGTTCTGAAGAATCAGTGAAGGAGGGAGCATGCACACATCCTGGTTTTATTGGAGGAATGTGCATAAAGTGTGGAGAGAAAAGGGATAGTGATGATCAGTCTGGTGTTGCATTTGGGTATATACACAAGGTTATTCTTCTTTCATAAATCACACATATCATTACCTCTTGTCATGAAGTGCTTGAACTTTTGTAACCAAGAAATCTTATGATATTGCAGGATCTTAGACTTGCTAATGATGAAATTGATCGATTGCGTGATAGAGATATGAAGAATTTGTTACGCCACAAAAAGCTTTACTTGGTTCTTGATTTAGATCACACCTTACTAAACTCAACCAGGTTTTCTGATATAACTCAAGAAGAAGGATACTTATTGAACCAAAATGATCCCATGCAAGGTATTTATATCCCATACAATACTGATATTTGTTAGAAACAATGTTTTAACTTTTGATACTTTGTAATGACAGATGCACTGAAAGGTACTTTATTCAAATTACCCTCAATGCACATGGTAACAAAGTTGAGGCCTTATGTCCACACTTTCTTAAAAGAAGCAAGCAAGTTGTTTGAAATGTCTATTTACACCATGGGTGAGCGTTCTTATGCATTAGAAATGGCAAATCTTCTTGACCCTGGTAGGGTTTACTTTGACTCTAGAGTAATTGCACAAGGTGATTGCACCCAAAGACATCAAAAAGGACTTGATGTCGTTCTTGGGAAAGAAAGTGCTGTTTTGATCCTTGATGATACAGAAGTGGTAAGCAAACACCCATCACTTACTAGTATTACTATAAAATTACCATTTTGCCCCTACGACATAAAGTTGATTGTATTTTTTTTAAGGTATGGAAGCACAAGGATAATTTGATTGTGATGGAAAGATATCATTTCTTTGCATCAAGTTGTAGACAATTTGGGTACAGATCCAAATCACTTTCTGAATTAAGAAGTGATGAAAGTGATGTTGATGGTGCTCTTGCTACTGTTCTTAAAGTGCTTAAACGAGTCCACACTATGTTTCTTTGATCCGGTATGTCCTCAATTTTTGCAAATCATAATGTGTTTTGATAGAGTAAATTACTGAAATCGTCCCTATGGTTTGGTCAAAATTGCACTTTTGGTCCCTGTGGTTTGATTTTGTTGCGTTTTTCGTCCCTTACATTAGCATACATAAAGTTAGGGACCAAACGTGCAATTTTGACCAAACCATAGGGACAAAAAACGCGACAAAATCAAACCACAGGGACGGTCCGAGTCCAAAAAAAAAGTTAGGGACCAAATGTGCAATTTTGATAAAACCATAGGGACAAAAAACGCAACAAAATCAAACCATAGGGACGATCTGAGTGCAAAAAAAAGCAAGGTTGCAGAAATCGCTCGACGGTAGCTCGGCGGTGGACTGGGGTCAAGGGATTAATCGGCTAGGCGGGGATTAATCGGGGACCATTAATTATTAAGAAAAATGTTCAAATATTAATAAATCTAACTTTAATCCAAATAATATAAGTAAACTCATAGCCACTGATGTAAATTCACAAGTGTTACAACATATCAACCAAACCCAAATTCACCTACATCTAAATATGTCTTGTAATACCATTCACTACTAGGATCCATATATGGTATAAACAAGATAATTTAACAACTCTTTTATTGACAAATTCTACAAACCATCCTATAGTGAACAGAAAGCATGTGATTTCCGATATGTATAAGCTTCTTTTGAGATCAAATCTTTTTCTGAACAAAGGTGAGGTGAAGACAGAGTATGTAAAAGAGATTTGATGAAATGCACAGAACATGAAAATGGTTGAAGGTCCAAAAAAACCCCTGTTCTTAAGCCAAGAACAACAATGAAATCTTTGAGGATTTTCATCAAACAGCTTATGTGCGTCAATCTGAACTCCACTTGTCTTTGTGTTTGTGTTTCTGCTTTATCTTTCCCATCTTTACCCTTCTCCTTTCCTATTGTCTTATCATTAATGGATGTAGAAGATGGATCATCCTAAAGTCGAATAACAATTTTAGTAATAGCATAACAAAACAAAAACAATTTACATGGACAAAGACGAACCTGAATTCCATTAGATCTGCCATTTAGATCCGGTGTCAAAACAAATTTCCTGGAACTCAAGGCATTAAATCGACCCAAACACGGTGAATATGATGACTAATGGCTAACAGCAAGATACGATGGGAGAAGTCGGAGACGATGGCTAACGGCGGTTGCAGGGGAGGAGTCGGAGTCGTCTTCGCTAAAGGAGTTGGAGTCGAGCAGCGTATAAATAAGATATACGCTGAAGAAGAGTTGAAGTCGGAAGAAGAGTTAGAAGTAAAAACGAACCTGGATAACTCAATTAGTGTCGACGAAAGGAGCTGAAGTCGGAAGAATAGTTGATTTTGGAACCAATAAACTTCAAGAACTGCAATCTTTAAACTTCATGAGCCCAGAAACTTCGTGACGGGAGGAGCTAAAGTCGTGAACTGAAGCTTGGAAGGAGACTGCACGTCGTTGCTTGAAGGAGATGACGAACCGGGGGCCAGAGCTAAAAACGGGCATGAGACTGTCGAAGGTGAACGGAAGAAGAAGATGCGATCGATGTCCCTTGTTCGTTCTCGTTCGTGGTTCAGAGAGGCAGAGAGAATGCGATTTTTTTTGACTTCATCGAATGAGAAAACGGATGCAACCCTAGAAGCATTTCTTACATTTTGACAATTTTGCCCTCAAATTCTTTTTAAAATTGCGCTGACTTTCGTTGACCGATTTGGGCGCCTAGACCCGCCTAGACCCGTTTTTGACCGACTTTGACCACGTCCGATTATATAGCCTGATTAGCTATAAACGTCGACAGTCGAGGACCGCCAAGCGCCTAGGCGCCGATTAATCGGCCGCCTAGGCCGATATTTGCAACACTGAAAAAAAGTTAGGGACCAAATGTACAATTTTGACCAAACCATAGGGACGAAAAACGCAACAAAATCAAACTACAGTGACGATCCGAGTGCAAAAAAAAGTTAGGGACCAAATGTGCAATTTTGATAAAACCATAGAGACAAAAAACGCAACAAAATCAAACCATAGGGACGACCCGAGTGCAAAAAAGAAGTTAGGGACTAAACGTGCAGTTTTGACCAAACCATACGCAACAAAATCAAACCACCGAGTGCAAAAAAAAAAAAGTTAGGGACCAAACATGCAATTTTGACCAAACCATAGGGATGATTTCAGTAATTTACTGGTTTTGATATTTGAGAATTCGGTGTTTAAGTTTTAATGATTTTATTCTAACTTCACACAATAGGAACTCGGGGAGAATTTTGATGGGCGTGATGCAAGGCAGGTGAGATACTCATTGTATTTAGTTATTTACTATTTTACCCCCCACAACTATTTCCTATTTTTATTATTAATTTGTAAAATTGTTATTATTATGTCAGATGTTGAGAGCTGTTCGGAGTGAAATATTGAAGGGGTGTAAAATAGTGTTCAGTAGGGTTTTTCCGACACAGTTTCAAGCGGAAAACCACCAGCTATGGGTGGTGGCTGAGCGGCTAGGTGCCACCTGTACGACTGAGGTTGACTCGTCAGTGACACATGTCATCTCTACAGACATTGGAACTGAAAAGTCAAGGTGGGCTGTTCAAGAAAAGAAGTTTCTAGTGGAACCACGGTGGTTGGAAGCTGCGAATCTCAGATGGGAGAGACAACCTGAGGAGAAATTTCCGGTGGTCAAAGAAGTAAAAGAAAAACACTGAACTTTTTGTTTCTCTCTCATTTGACTAGTTGTTGTTGACTTGATAGAGAGTTGTGGTTTTTGTTGGTATAGTAGTATAGGTGGTGGTTACTAGTTAGGTTAGAAGAACAAGATTAGAAATATCATAGTATCTCATACATTTTGCATCTGATTTGTCTGATTAAGATGTACAGGATTTTTGCTTGTCAAAGATGTTTTGACTCAATGGGCTTAATGGGTTAAGCACTTAATCTAGATAGCTATATATAGCTGTTTTTGTTAGCCTAACTATGGACATAATGACTTCATGGGTTAAGCCAAAAAACTTGCTATTTTTTCCTCACAATTCCTCTTATGTTAGTATTGATGAATATTGTAAAATTTGTTCTTTGGAATGTAATGGTAAACTAGTGCTTAGATTTTTTATTCATTTGGCCTAGAAAATTGATTAATGTTGTTAAAATGATAAATTTTGTGATTTTTTTAGAAGGGTAAATTAGTCATTTAATCATCTAGTTGTTTGGATGTTTTATTTGTGAAATTTGTTTTTTAGAATGTAATGGTAAAATAGTGATTTAGTTATCTATATTAGTAGCATTACCCATTCAATTAATTTATGCATGGCTTAACGGGGACAAAGACAGATTAAACAAAATTGGTATTATTAAATAATTGTAAAAATATATTAGTATATTATTCGTAATAATTATTGTTTGATTATATAAGTAAAGAAATATAAAAATAGTGGTATTGAAAATTTGAAATACATCAGATACAATTGGAATTTAATTCTATTAAAATACTTTAAGATTCCATCATTAATTTTATCAAACATTATATTAATATAAAAAATATTAATATCTTTAGTTGGGAATGTTGTCAGAGCACCTAACTTTTTTATAATGGAACAACTTTTTTTTTTAATGGAACAAAATACTTTGGAATTAGATTTCTGTTATTCTTGAGATAGTAAGTTCCACTAATTATTGAAGACCCCTTTTTTAATGCACATAATATATACCATATGGAAGGATTTTAATCTTGATCTTGATTTTGGATTTTAGTTTTAGAAAAACCATCGTAAATGGTCCATGTGGTTACCCAAAATCTGAAGTTTAGTCCCCGTGGTTTAAAAACCTAATAGATGGTCCATGTGCTTTCAAAACTTTTGATGTTTGGTCCTTTTTGTTAACTCAGTTAGCTTTCTACGTTAAACGAAGGGTATTTCCGTCATTTAACTATCCAGGGACCTTTTATGAAGTTTTATTTTATTTATTTATTTTCTTAAAATAAATTTAATATCCAAGGGTCTCTCTCGTGTCGTCTTCTTCTACCTGCACCACTAAACCATCTCCACTTCCTTTCTTCCTAGATGCAACAATCTCTCTATCCAATTGTGATCCCTAACCTTTAAAGCTTCGTCTACAACCTAATCCTCCAAAAACGAAACCTACATTCTTCGTCTTCTCCATCAGGGTCTGCTACCAGGCTCCGACAAGTGAGATCGAGGTGTCAATGGCAGTTGCCCATCAATCACCGCCGTATGACCAGATCCACGCCGTTGAGCGCCGATCGGATCATACGAGTCAATGATTTCACTTTCCCTTTTTTCAGGAATCATAACAATCAACAACTTGTATGATCGAACACAAAAGAAAACTATTTCCACTCACTAACAGGTGTGTGAGTGTGAAATTTCCAATCGCTTCTTGTGTAGTTTCTTCAGACTCTTTTTTGTTCACTTTCGTTCATCATTCTACTTTCATGTTACTTTTTATAATTTGTCGCATGTAGATTGGATTTGGTTATAAGGAGGCTGTGATGATTTCGTTTTTTGTAGTTGATCTGAGCATCAGATTGGGGGGAAATGGTGAAATTTCATCTTGTATTTTGGTGGGGAAACCATTGTTGCAGCCATGACGATGCTGGTCCTTAATTTCTAGCCCTCAAGGATCTGTGGCAAGAGAAAGACGCAATAGAAAGATTTCAGGGAGAGAGAAGAGGCCGTACAAGCAATTTCAGTCTTCTTCATGTTCCGTTGATACTGATCTGTATTTGATTATAGTGAATACATTTTCAAAACAAATGAGAGAGAGATTCTGTATCTGGGTTTGATTTTCTTGCTCTGTATTTGATTCCAAATTTGAGTATCTGTATCCTTGTTTTTATCATTCTATGGTTTATCAAATGGAGATATGAGTCATACCCTTTTCCAATCATCTTCATGCTGCCATATCACAGCCAACACCACCACCTAAAATCGATTACAAGGGGAAAATGAAAGAGAGAGTATCGATATAGGGCTAGGGAGAAACAAGTGCATAACAAATTTTTGTTTTGGTGAAATGTTTTGCTTGATAATTTGGTTAGATAACAAAGGAAACATTATTGGAAATTTCTTTGGTTAAAGAACATATATGGAGGTTGTTGGATTTACACACACACACAGAGAGAGAGAGAGAGAGAGAGAGAGAGGGAGAGAGACCCTTGGATATTAAATTTATTTTAAGAACATAAATAAATAAAAGAAAACTTCATAAAAGGTCCCTGGATAGTTAAATGACGGAAATACCCTTCGTTTAACGGTAGAAAGCTAATGGAGTTAACAAAAAGGACCAAACATCAAAAGTTTTAAAAGCACAGGGACCGTCTATGAGGTTTTTAAACCACGGGGACTAAACTTCAGATTTTGGGTAACCACAGGGACCATTTATGATGTTTTTTCTTAGTTTTAATTATCTTTCAAAGTTAGTACTGATTTTTTTCATAGGAAGATTTTGAGAACTTTTGGTATGAATGCCATGAGAAGAGGATTTGAAGTATACATATACCAAAAGTTACGACTTAATTTGATTTGAAGGCGCAAAACAACATACGTGCTCTTCTCTTAGCTTCTTCTTCTGAAGAGCCCACATAATCCCAATCATCATTCTCAATAACTTTTACATCTTCAAACATACTCATATCTACATCATCACCTACACTATGTTAATTTTTTTGGAAACCCATCCATTTTGCATCCATTTCATCTATACATTGGAAATAAACCATATTTAATTCTATTTCATCTACGAGGTTTGACTCATCAAGTCATCAACCATGAGATCACTATCATTACTCGAGTCATCATTGTCTTGTTCCATTGGTACAAATAGACCCTTCTCCCATGTTACTTTTACGTGAGTTCTTCCCAAATAATACATTAAAATCTTGAAAACATTGTGCAAATTCTTCATCAAATCTCTCTTTATCTACCACTTGCTCAATCTTATCAAACATAGGGTCATTATCCAATATCCATAACCATTTTCTCTTCAAATGGATTAGGTTCAATTTCCTCATTAACAAACGGTTGGTCTTCCACTTGCATTGGTTCACCACTTCACCTTGCTCAATTTATTCATATGTATATTGAGCATCTTCTTTTGTGGCTTCTTGTCCATTAACATCTTTTCATGTACCTTCTTGTGTATCAATATCATCAATACCAATTTCTTGCTACAAGATGATGTTCATCCCCTAGACGTTGTCCTTCTACACCTTTTTAATTCATCCCTCAATGCCCATGGAAAATTATCATGCTTAGTCACTCTCCTCAACTACCATCTCATTGTCATACTCTACTTGTAGACCTTCAAAAAATGAATTTCCTTACTCTCATCTAACTCTCTAATAATCATATGAGAGGAGTCACTAGGAGACATGAAATAGGTTAGTAAACATGTTCTCCCATGCTCTATATAAACTTTTTTTATGCTTATTTGCAACAACATATGTAGATAGGATATAAACATCATCATCATTTCCTAGTTCTCCTAACCCAAAATCCACATCAGCTCTATGTATCCTAAAATAATAGTAGCAGATGACTAGGGGTATGTGATAACCTATTTCTTCCAAGGAATGTGGATTAAAAATTTATCGATGTCTAATAGGTCAATAATGTGAAAATTCAATATCAATTCCATTAAAAAAACTTGTTGCCATCCAGAAAGGGCTAGCGGCGCAGCTTGTTGCCCGTTTGCCTTCAATCGATATGTATTGAACTATATTAGTGTTTATCAAAATTCAATATCAATTCCATTAAAAAAAACTTGTTCTTGTGCGTATCTCCTTCCAAGGAATGTGGTGAACTTACCTTTGTGATGTAGTTCTATGGAGGACATTGTGGGATGACAATCTATCGAAGAACAAGAAGAAAAGGGCTTCAAAAGATTTATGTATTGATTAAGAGGTCTTAAACTCCAAATATATGTTACTTTCTAACATAAGAAATCATGAATGTATATATAAAAAAAACAGAGGCATTACCATATATTTTCTCAACCTCGATGTATTGATTCATAGGTCTTAAACTCCACATTATCACTACCATCAGCCTTCCATAAAAGTTTATAAGCTTCAATGCCAACTAGTTCGAAAATAGAAACGATAACTAAAGTTTGAAAACACAGAAGATGAAAAGAATTGAGATGAAATTTTGAGTGACAACTAGTTAATATAGGTGATCACTTCAAAAGCCTAGAGGTGATGATTTCTAAATGACGATAATAGAGTAGGCAAGAGAAGAGAGGTAAAAAGACATAAATACCCTCATGCACGAGGCACATGTTTGAGCTAACGACTTAGTTTTAATGAACGTTAAAATTAAGTACTAAAACCACAACTAAACATGTACATAAGGATTTTCTATGCAAAATTCAAAGTTGAAATTGATCCTTATTATTTTTTTTTTTTGACAAACAAGGACCAAAAATTCAGTTTTTTCTAAAAAAACTAATGATTTATCGTTAATAACCCTAAAATATAGAAACTTTTCTCAATAATATTGGTTAAATCGAAATGTTTAAATGAATGCCGATTTCTTATCCTTTTATGTATATAATTACCAATATTTTTTTTGTCTAATTGAGTTAAAGAAAATAAATCTATAACTTTTTTATAAATATGGAAAAGTTTTGTAACTTAGATTTCCCTATTTAAATAAATCATCAATTTTTAACCACATTTAACAAAAATCAAAATAAAAAGTTTAATTTTATATAACAATAACGATCAAATGATCGTGACCTTTTGTTTTCTTATCTTTTTGACAAAAAAACCTAGAATTAAAATAGATAAATTCTTAAGTGATCCTCTTCTATTTTCATTTGGTCAATGGTTTTTTGTACTATTAAAAGAAATTTTGATATAGAATCCAAGTTGCCTGCTAGTTGACAAAAAAATCCCCCT